AGGAGACCCGTCAATGTCTTCAGTGGGGACCAGATGGGGAAAACAGCTATATTTGTCACTTCTTTATGTGCTCTGAGTCTTGGGACCTGCAAGGCCAGGAGAAGGGGACCCCCTTCCTGCCCTCCAGCCCCAGTCACAGCTAGACATCTTGGCGTTAGGTTTCTTGGTGTTTGGTTGGCATCTGCAGGTCTCCTCTCTCAGCTGATGGTTCTGATATTCCACTGGGTGACAATGTTCAGCCTCACCTTCAAGGACATAGGCTAAGAATGGAAGCAAAGGACAAGTCTCAGGGACAGATGGTCTTAGTCTCTCCTACTCCGAGCCAGGACGATCTGCCCTGAGATAAGGGAGCATTCCCAGGCGTGGCTTCTGATGAGGGTAAAGGGGGTGGATGGCTCTAACCCCAGCCCCTCTGCTTTCTTTTGATGCTTCCAGGTCTGAAGGAGAAAGAACAGAGCCCAAGGAGGCTGAGGCTCCTTCTGGTGGGGAAAACAGGAAGTGGGAAAAGTGCAACAGGAAACAGCATCCTTGGCCGGAAAGTGTTCGAGTCCAAAGTCAGTGCAAAAACAGTGACCACGACCCTCCAGAGAGGGAGCCGAGAGTGGGCTGGGAAGGAACTTGAGGTGATCGACACCCCCGACATTTTGTCCCCTCAGGTCCAGCCAGAAGCAGCAGCTCAGGAGATGTCTCAGGCCATTGCCTTCTCGTCCCCAGGGCCTCACGCAGTGCTCCTGGTGACACAGCTGGGCCGGTTCACAGAAGAGGACCAGCAGGTGGTCAGGCGCCTCCAGGAGGTCTTCGGAGTGGGGGTTCTGGCTTACACAGTCCTGGTGTTCACCCACAAGGAAGACCTGGATGGTGGCTCCTTGGAAGAGTATGTGCGAAAGACCCACAACCAGGACCTTGCCTGGCTGGACGTGCTATGTGAGCGGCGCCACTGCGGCTTCAACAACAGGGCGGAGCGGGCAGAGCAGGAGGCCCAGCTGCAGGAGCTTATGGAGAAAATCGAGGGAATCCTGTGGGAAAATGAAGGGGATTGCTACAGCAACAAGGCTTACCAGTCCTCCCAGCAAAACGTCCTGCTCAAAGTAGTGCAGGAAAGACAAAACGCTCAGGGGCAAGGGTCTGAAGTGCTCAGTGAGGAATCCCGGCTGGAAGGGCTGTCCCAAGTCCTGAAGGAATCAGAGAAGACTCACAGACACCTCCTGGGGAGGGTGACTCTTTGAGCCCACGCTGGCACCATCCTCATGTGGCAGCGTCTGGTGTGGGGAGAGGGGTGTGTGTTTGGAGGAGTCCAGAGTTCACAGCTCACGTCCCAGGTGCTCCATGCCTTCTTCCCTTCCTCTGGATGCCACCAGTACAGAAACTTCCATTTTGGTGGCATTGCATTCCTGGGGTATTTGCCTGTTCCCTGATAGAACCAAAGCTTCTTGAGGGCAGTGCTGTGTCTCGTTCTTCCATGTAACTCCCACAGCTTCCTGGCCATTGTAGTCACTCAGTCAATGCTGATGCAGCAACCCTGCATGAGTGGTTGCCCAGATGACTTCACATCTCTGTCCTTGCCTGTGACGGGGGAGGATGATGACTGTTAAAGTGCCTGCTGTGTGTGGTGGGCAGAACACGGCAGTGGCTCTGAGACAAATGGGGAGGGAAGGAGAGCAAGCAGGAGCAGAGAAGGAGGTAGAAGGAGCCACCCTTTCATTCACTCTGGAACTTCCTAGTGGCCATGTTGAGTGTAGTCAGGGGTGGGGTATCCTAGAAACCAGGCTCTGGTCAAAAGGGTGGACCTAGCCTTGGCTACCTAATGTGGAGGCCGTGGAGGTGCCAGGTGGGCAGAGGAGGCCAGCACCCCCACCCCCCACCCCGAGGCAGGCTTAGATTAGGGAGGGGGTGAGTGTCTGAGTGTATAAATGGGTTTCTCTAGCAAGGCATTTGTGGGGGGTTGAAAGGAGGGAGACAGGGCAAGAAGGGGACCTGCAAAGGATGGAATTGAGTGACTTAAACATCTTGTGGGGCAGATAGCCTGGCTTATGGGAGAACTGTGCTTCACGTGGGTGTCTTCCTGGAAGGTTGTTCCTACAGACTGGGTTTATGAGGAGCGACACTGGGTAGGACAAGAAGGCAGCAGAATGTTGGCCTGGCTCTGGCCTCAAATAGGAAGCTGTCTGCCTGCATGAGGAGACTGACATGCCTGGACACACCTCATCTTTTTTGGGGTTCAAGGTGCTCCTGGGAAGTTGGACCAACTGATGGGAAAAAAATAGGAGGAAGCAGGGAAAATGCCTNGTGGAAATATAATGAAGTATATTATATAAACAGACATTTTCAGCAAATCCACAGAGAGCTTTATGAAAAGCTTCCTTTCAACAATCAAAAACAGAATTGGAAAAATTAGTCACCTGGAGCCAGAAATTAAATGTTTAACAAAAAATTTCTAAACAATTTTAAACAGGATCTTAGCTTATGACTTGGCAGTCTGTAAAAAGCTTGGATTCTAGCACACAAAAGAAAACCATTTTTAGTTGGAAACGAGGTAAAATAAATTATTCCCTTGGTTATGGAAATTTCTGTTGGAAAATTTGGGGGAGAGACTAAAAATCTAAGTTTATATAAAACATAAAAGACCTTCCATTAAGTCACCAAAAAATTGCCCATACAGGCAAGACCTTTATAATAATAACAAATATTGAGTGATTTAAAACTGAAAATTTTGCAAGTATTTTTATTTAGCACTAGAAAAGAAGTGTGATTTAAGAGACACTGTGTGATAAATACATGGAAATGTTTTGTCTTAATGTATTTCCAAATTTATAAGAGACTTTGTAAATTCAGAACAAAATATGAATTAATGGTATAAATGTTTTAAAATCGTTTAAACCTGCCAAATAAGAATTTTAGCAAGATATTTGACACAAATTCCTCATGATGTAAGTAGTCTCACTCTCATATTATATGATGTAAAATTACTGGAACATGCTCAGTTTCAGTTTTAGATCCCGTTATTACTTTGCCTTGATTGTTTCCAAAGAACATTTTATTTTCCTCCATTTATGTGAAGGATTTCAGTAGAAAAACTGAAGCTCATCTAGGTATTAAATGTAGGATGTACTTTTAATCCAGGGAATTAGAGGCTGGAACACCCCTTGGAGGGCTGGGAAGACAGAGGTCTGGGAAGCTCAGTGGTGATGAACTGGGTGTTTCTAGGTGTTGGTCTGCTATGACACATGGCTGGAGTTCACCCAACAGGCAGGTTGGCACAGCTGAAGAATTCAACATAAGCATTGACCTTGTTGAAACAAAATGGAGACTGGGCCTGAAAAATTCCTGAGGAAACGAAACCAAACAGGCATTAAAAATAGCCTTAATCTTGCATAAACTGCAAATATAAGTGAAACCTAACGTGGGTCATTTCTGATAAATGACCCAATTATAAGCAGCCAGCTAACATATGATAATGTGTCTAAGGACTTTCAACAAAGTAAAACAAACAAACAAAAAAAGCAATTTTGTAAACGTAAACAATCAAATAATTTCTCTCTCTCTCTCTTTTTTTTTTTTGCTTCTGCATTCACCCTATAAACACTTTGTCATCTGAACACTAAACCTTTCAGTTTGGTGTTTTGCAATTCATGAATTGCGTCTTACTCAAATAAATGCTTTAAAATTTTTATTGTGTCTCAGTTTTAAGTTTTTTAACAGTCTGGTGTCAGAAGTGGGAAATGAAGGAGCCCCACTGTCCTGACCCAGTGACCTCCAAGAATAACAAGGAACCAGGTGTAAGTGCCCACTGAGCCCATTATGCTAACATTTTCTTGCTGTATCTGGAGATAAGTGGGTAAGTCCCTCTTTCCATTTTGCTTCTCTGAGTTTGAGTAATTTTTATTTCTGACGGAATCTAGAGGTTAAACTAGGTGTTTGACAGAAACTGGTCTAGATCCAGTACAGTGCACTAGCTGACAGACCAGATCTGGAATCCAGATTGAGATCCAGAGATCAAACAGGGTGTTTGATAGGTTGAATGAGGTATTCAAGAGAAAGCAGACTGAGTGCAGTTGGAGCTATCAGGTAACTAAAATTTTAGGACATGGTATTATGCGTTTGTCAACACACAAGGAGTCTGGGACTCCTCCAACTGGAACTCCAGCTAATTTTATGCTTGGAGATTTTGAGTTCAAAACCTGTGCCTTTCTCGAGAAATAGGGGCAACTCAGGAAGATAACAGTTACAGGGTCAACAATGGAAACATTTTATCCTAGATGAAATTACTCATGTATGGTCACACAGGAAAACAGGTGAGATCACGAATGCTTCAGAAATAATAGGATGCAATCTTGAATGGGAAACAGGCTTCCAAAAGGTAGAATGACTCAAAATAGCCTATCTAAAGGCATCTCTGCAGTGCCCTCATGAAAAATTATTCTGAACCTACAAACCTCTTTGATCTCTTGCCTTTTCTACCAGAGCCTTTTCAACATCNGTGGAAATATAATGAAGTATATTATATAAACAGACATTTTCAGCAAATCCACAGAGAGCTTTATGAAAAGCTTCCTTTCAACAATCAAAAACAGAATTGGAAAAATTAGTCACCTGGAGCCAGAAATTAAATGTTTAACAAAAAATTTCTAAACAATTTTAAACAGGATCTTAGCTTATGACTTGGCAGTCTGTAAAAAGCTTGGATTCTAGCACACAAAAGAAAACCATTTTTAGTTGGAAACGAGGTAAAATAAATTATTCCCTTGGTTATGGAAATTTCTGTTGGAAAATTTGGGGGAGAGACTAAAAATCTAAGTTTATATAAAACATAAAAGACCTTCCATTAAGTCACCAAAAAATTGCCCATACAGGCAAGACCTTTATAATAATAACAAATATTGAGTGATTTAAAACTGAAAATTTTGCAAGTATTTTTATTTAGCACTAGATAAGAAGTGTGATTTAAGAGACACTGTGTGATAAATACATGGAAATGTTTTGTCTTAATGTATTTCCAAATTTATAAGAGACTTTGTAAATTCAGAACAAAATATGAATTAATGGTATAAATATTTTAAAATCGTTTAACCCTGCCAAATAAGCATTTTAGCAAGATATTTGACACAAGTTCCTCATGATGTAAGTAGTCTCACTCTCATATTATATGATGTAAAATTACTGGAACATGCTCAGTTTCAGTTTTAGATCCCACTATTACTTTGCCTTGATTGTTTCCAAAGAACATTTTATTTTCCTCCATTTATGTGATGGATTTCAGTAGAAAAACTGAAGCTCATCTAGGTATTAAATGTAGGATGTACTTTTAATCCAGGGAGTTCGAGGCTGGAACACCCCTTGGAGGGCTGGGAAGACAGAGGTCTGAGAAGCTCACTGGTGCTGAACTGGGTGTTTCTAGGTGTTGGTCTGCTATGACACATGGCTGGAGTTCACCCAACAGGCAGGTTGGCACAGCTGAAGAATTCAACATAAGCATTGACCTTGTTGAAACAAAATGGAGACTGGGCCTGAAAAATTCCTGAGGAAACGAAACCAAACAGGCATTAAAAATAGCCTTAATCTTGCATAAACTGCAAATATAAGTGAAACCTAACGTGGGTCATTTCTGATAAATGACTCAATTATAAGCAGCCAGCTAACATATGATAATGTGTCTAAGGACGTTCAACAGAGTAAAACAGAAAAACGCAGTTTTGTAAATGTAAACAATCAAATAATTTCTCTTTTTTATGCTTCTGCATTCGTCATCTGAACACTAAACCTTTTTCAGTTTGGTGTTTTGCAATTCATGAATTGCTTCATACTCAAATAAATGCTTTAAAATTTTTATGGTGTCTCAGTTTTAAATTTTTTAAAAGTCTGGTGTCAGAAGTGGGACATGAAGGAGCCCCACTGCCCTGACCCAGTGACCTCCAGGAATAACAAGTAACCAGGTGTAAGTGCCCACTGAGCCCATTATGCTAACATTTTCTTCCTGTATCTGGAGATAAGTGGGTAAGTTCCTCTTTCCATTTTGCTTCTCTGAGTTTGAGTAATTTTTATTTCTGACTGAATCTAGAGGTTAAACTAGGTGTTTGACAGAAACTGGTCTATATCCAGTATAGTGCACTAGCTGACAGACCAGATCTGGAATCCAGATTGAGATCCAAAGATCAAACAGGGTGTTTGACAGGTTGAACGAGGTATTCAAGAGAAAGCAGACTGACTGCAGTTGGAGCTATCAGGTAAC